TTTTATATATTTTATATATATTATATATGTAGATTCATTCTCAGAGGAAAGAAAAGACATTATAAATATATATAAATCAGTCAATCTACCAGAATACAGAAGATTGTTTCTTCCAGTTAGTTTTAGATGCCCTGCCTAGTTACAATGGCAAGTATTTTTGACATATTGACTAGAGAGGAAGAGACCAAAACCATATGAAAAGACTAAAACACTTTTTTTTAGTTTAGTTCTGTTTTTCAATACTTTCTGACTTCCCTACTGTCTCTGTGGCTGTTAGCTCCAAGCCCATTTAAATGAACAGGGTTCCCACACTTCTGGAAAACTTGGAAATCTAGACTAGTTTTCCAGTCATTGAGACACCTGCAATTTGATTACAATTACCAAAAACCCTGGAAATAATCTATGTTGTCATCAAAATTTCCAGTTGTATTTTAGCTCCATTCAGATCTGTAAAACAAGAGGCAGAATTAATGTTACAATGAATGTAAAACTGTAGTAAAGTAGTTCATTCACCAGAGATCACAGCAAACAAATCGCCTGTGCTAAGAACAGCTAAGCGCGCCACAAAATTGCACTGTCCACCTGTCCTGTATTGTTAGTAAAGACTGGAAATGGATTTCTTAAAAAGAGTAGGAACCCTGATCAGGGACGCACAATTTATATCAGGTCCTATAAATTATTGGTCCATAATTATAATAATTTATTTCAAATTCTTGTGCAAAACATTTGATAGGCTTTACAGTAAAAGTATGTTTGTTTGTGAAGAGTCCGAGCTGTTTGTCAGATTTGGACTGCTCACTACATCCCAGCCTTTGTTACCCTCAGGTGTGCATACACTACAGGTTGTAGTCTAATCAGTATGAGAAACAGGTCATTATTGGTAATCAGTATCAGCTGATAAACAATCCAAGTTGTGCACCCCTAAATGTTTAAAATGGATCACAACTGTATACAACAAGTATATTTTCTCTCCCTGTGTGTCCATGCTTAAGTTCTTACTGCTGATCCAACCACCCTCTGGTTTCAGGTGTATCTACACACTGTACCTGATGAGTGACAGCTACCTGGGTCTCGACCAGCAGTACGACATCCACCTGAATGTAACATCTGCCAGCATCGCCGCTCAGGTTAACACAGAGGTGTCTGACTCTGTGACTGAGCTGTCCCTCAGCTGAGGAGCAGTGGCAGCAAACACACACACCGCAGCCGCGTCAGCAGCAGGGGAGCTCCAGGAACGTCTGCAGTGATCAGCAGGAATTTCTGGCATCCCCAAACTGAACAGTGCATTCAAATGATCATTGGAGTTTACTATTTTCCTCTGCCCACATTATATCAGCTTCCCTCTTCTGTGGTCATTGGCAGTGACCGTCTCCTCTTACCTTAAACTTGTGACTGCATTGTCTATTGGGGCTACTGTTAGAGCAGAAAAAGGTACATTAGTAACTCGTCTATGGATTTCTCCGATGGGGGTGTGTGGTAAATGGGGGTTCTGGAAGAATCTCCTGTGATCTTTTTTGCGAAGTGAAAAAAAAAATGATGTTTTAGTTCAGTTAAATATATATTATGTTTTTGTTTTATTGATTGACCCTCATTTAACACTGAATTACAGCAGGAAGTGATGTTGCACATTCTGACCACACCTCAATCAGTGATGTCACAGCAGAGTATTTGACCTTTGACTAGTGACATGAAATACCTTCCGTAGCATCGCTGGTGGACAATAGTGTCCCATTTCAGAAGGTGCCTCCTTCAGAGTCTGTTTTCTCTGGACCAAATACATTATAACAAGCCATAAACTAAAGCTTTCTTTACCAGAAGACAGAACCAGTCCTCAATATCTGAAAAACCTGGGAAAGGTCATCACTTGTCTCAGTGAGACCTCAGTATGCGCATCCAATGGCAAAATGAACTCTTCCTAAGTCCCACCCCTTTTTGCTCTGTGCTCCAATAACAATTGAGCAAGCATCGGACAGAACATCAGTCAACTTTTTCCTTTCCTGTCTTTAGATATGCTATGTGCTAGGCTAATCTATGTTGAAAAGAGCATAAATTAGGTAATGTTAGCAAAATTCTATCAAACAGTAGAAAATTCTAGTGATTGCTGTAGATTAGCTAGCTAGTTAGCTAGTGTTTTGCCAACATTATCTTTCAGATGTAACTAGCTAGTAGTAGTTTGTTTATAGCGTAATGTTAGCGAT